GAACTTCAAGGAAGTCCGAGAATCTTCAGAAAAAGTTGCTGAACTTCAGGGAAGCTCTAAGATCTTTAGAGAAACTTCCAGAACTTTAAGTATATCGTAGATCTCCAAAAGTCAAGAAGTTTGCAGAACTTTAGCGAAATTCAGAACTTCAGATAAATGTACAGAACTTCAGGAAAGTTCATATGCAAGTTCGTAGAACTTGAGATAAATTTTCAAAACATAAGAGAAACCGCTGGGAAGCTCGTACATCTTCTCATAAGTTTTAAGAACTTTAGGGATATCATGAATCGTCAAAGAAATTTGAAGAACTTCAGGGAAGTCCATATCTCGAGAGAAATTTGCAGAAATTCAGGGAAGCTAACAGATCGTCAGAGCAATTTGCAGAACTGCAGGAATGTTCGTAGAACGTCAAAAAATTCCGCAGGGAAGTTCGTAGACATTCAGCAAAGTTTTGCGAACTTTTGGGAAGTCTGTGATTTTTTTGAGAAATTGAAAGAACTGCAGGGAAGTTCGTAGACCTTTTGAATTAAAATTTGAATAAATTCAGGAAAGTATGCAGAATTTCTGGATAGTTCATTTGCAAGTTCGTAGAACTTCAGAGAAATTTGCACAACTTCATGGAATTGAATAGAACTTAAAAAAAATCATCAGGGATAGCTCGAAATTTTTTAGAGAATTTTGAAGAACTTCAACGAAGTCCGAGAATCTTCAGAAAAGCTGCTGAGCTTCAGGGAAGCTCTGAGATCTTTAAAGAAACTTTCAGAACTTTAAGTATACCGTAGATCTCCAGAAGTCTAGAAGTTTGCAGAGCTATAGGGATATTCAGAACTTCAGATAAATATGCAGAATATATGCAATTTCGTAGATCTTCAAATAAAGTTTGCAGAACTTCAGGGAAATTAGTAGAACTTAAAAAACATCATGGATAGTCCGTGAATCTTATGAGAAGTTCGGAAAACTTCAAGAAAGTCCAAGAATCTTCAGAAAAATTTGCTGAACTTTAGGAAAGTTCTTAGATCTTTAGATACATTTCCAGAACTTTAAGAATATCGTAGATGTCCAGAGACATTCGCAGAACTTCAGAGAAGTTCATATATGCAAGTTTGTAGAACTTCAGAGATTTACGCAAAACTTTAGAGTAGTTCGCAGTAGTTCAGCGAAAGAGCCGTGATTCTTCAGCGATATTTGAAGACTTTCAGGCAAGTTCTGAAAACTTCAGAGATATTTAGAGTCCGTAGACCTCTAGCACATACAAACTCGTAGATCTTAAAAGAAATTTGCAGAACTTCAGGATTCGTGAATCTTTAGAGAATTTTGAGATAGTCCCTGAATCTTAAGAGAACTTTAAAGAACTTCAGGGCTGTACCGAAAATCTTCCGAAAAAGTTGCTGAAGTTCAGGGAAGCTCTGAGATCTTTAGAGAAATTTTAAAAACGATCAAGAATTTCGTAGATCTCCTAAGAAATTTGCAGAACTGCAGGGAAATTCAGAACTTCAGATAAATATGCAGAACTTCAGAAAGGTTCGTATGGAAGTTCGTAGAACTTCACAGAAATTTGTAGAACCTCAGGGAAAGTCGTAGATCTTTAATAAATTAAAAACATCAGGGGTAGGCCGTGAATCTTTAGAGAATTTTGAAAAATTTCAGGGAAGTCCGAAAATCTTCAGAAAAATTTGCAGGACTTCGGCGAAGTTTTGAGATCTTAAGATCAGAACTTTAAGAATGCCGTAGATCTTCAGAAAAATCCGCAGAGCTCCAGGGAAATTCAGAACTTCAGATACATTTGCAGAACTTCAGAAAGCTTCTTTCTTAAGATCTTCAGAGAAATTTGTAGAACTTCAAGAAAATTCGTAGAACTTAAAAATAATAATAACATCAGGGACAGGTCGTGAATCTTTAGATAATTTTGAAGAACTTTAGGCAAAATTGACTGAACTTCAGGCAAATTCTGAGATCTTTAAAGAAATGTGTAGAACTTCAGGGAAATTCGTAGTACATCAGGGATAGTTCGTGATTCATCAGAGAATTCTGAAGAACTTCAGGGAAGTCCAATTTCCAGAACTTTAAGAATTTCGTTGATCTCCAGAGAAATTTTCAGAACTTCAGGAAAGTTCATATGCAAGTTTGTAGAAATTCAGAGAAATCTTCAGAACTTCAGAGGAATTCGTAGAACTTGAAAAAAAATAATAACATCAGGGATAGGTCGTGAATCTTTAGAGAATTTCGAAAAACTTCAGGAAGTCTGGAATCTTCAGAAAAATTTGCTAAACTTCAGATAAGTTCTGAGATCTTAAGATCTCTAGGGAAATTTGCAGAACTTCAGATACATTTGCAGAACTTCAGGAAAGTTCGTAGATCTTCAGAGAAATTTGCAGAACTTCAAGAAAACTCGTAGAACTTAAAAAAATAAGAACATCAGGGACAGGTCGTGAATCTTTAGATAATTTTGAAGAACTTCAGGGAAATTAGCTTAACTGCAGGCAAGTTATGCAGAACTTTAGAGTAGTTCACAGGAAAGTTCATAGATTTCCAGAAACGTTTTAACAGCTTTTATTCTTCAAAAAAAGAGCCATGATTTTTCAGCGATATTTGATGAACTTCAGGGAAGTTCTGAAAATTTAAGGCAAATTTAAAATCCGTCGACCTTTAGCACATGCACATATGTAGAAATTCAGAGAATTTTTCAGAACTTCAGAGGAATTCGTAGAACTTAAAAAATGAAAGCACCAGGGATATTCCGCGAATCTTTAGAGAATTTTAAAGCACTTCAGGGAAATCCGAAAATCTTCAGAAAAAGTTGCTTAACTTCAGGCAAATTCTGAGATCTTTGGTGAAATTTAAAAAAAAAACATTAAGAATTTCGTAGATCTCCATAGAAATTTGCAGAACAGCAGGGAATCTCAGAATTTCAGATAAATATGCAGAACTTCAACAAGGTTCTAATGGAAGTTCGTAGAGTTTCGAAGAAATTTGCAGACCTTTAGGGAAATTCGAAGAACTTAAAAAAAATTAAAAACATCAGGGATAGGCCGTGAATCTTTAGAGAATTTTGAAAAACTTCAGGAAAGTCCGAGAATCTTCAGAAAAAATGGCTGATCTTTAGATCAGAACTTTAATAATTTCAAAGATCTTCATGAAAATTTGCAGAGCTCCAGGGAAATTACCCTAGTAGCACCCTTATTATAAATTGATCTTGGAAACTTATATACGACTTATTTCAGTTATAAACAAGTTGCTACAACTTTTTGGGACATAATTGTGCTACTTGGGCAAAAACTTCAGATACATTTGCAGAACTTAAGGGAAAATTGGCAGAACTTCAAGCAAGTTCCGAGATCTTTCGAGAAATTTGCAGAACTTTAAGAGTTTCGTAGATTTCCAGAGAAATTTGTAGAGCGTCTGGTAAATTCAAAACTTCAGATAAATATGCAGAACTTCAGGAAAGTTCACATGCAAGTTCATAGAACTTTAGAGTTTACGGGAATGTCCATTGATGTTCAGAAAAAAATTAAGAACTTTGAATTTTAAGCGAAATAGCCGTGATTCTTCAGCGATATTCGATGAATTTCAGGGAAGTTCTGAAAACTTCAGAGAAATTCAAGGTTCACAGACTTTTAGCACCCGCAAATTCGTAGAACTTCAGAGAAATTCGCAGAAGTGACCTACCCCTTTGGGAAGTTTGCAGAACTTCAGGAAAGATCTTCAGAGAAATTTGAAGAATATCGCTTCATTTATAAAAGCCGTGCACCAAAATGCATAAGCGAATTTTTGGACGCCCATCTACAGTAGAGCGTTTCAGCGTTATATGGAAAAAAAAAAGTCAACGTCTGGAATTTCAAACGCTAATCCCTGGAATGGTAGTTTGGGGGGTTAGAAACCGCTTGTCAAAATTTAAAGTCATTTGGTTCACAGGAACCCCTCGCTCAAAGAGGTTGAATTTTGTATGAGAAAAATTCACTTTCGCGGCTCTAGGTGGTGCTGTAGTTGGTCGATTTTCGTCGTGAACAAAATGTAGATCCTTTGGAGTATTGGGAGTACCTTGGCTGAAGATTGGAAGTGAATCCGAGTTAACTCCGAAAAGTCATTAGCGTTTCAAATGAACAACACCTGTCTTACTTTTGGGGAGGGCCTAACGCGCCTTGTGCGGTTTTGATTTTTACGAACAGGCATACGATTAACTTGTTAGAACAAGGCGATGGTGAAAATCTACAGCAACAGGCATCTATGAGTACTGCTGATTCATATTTTAACAAAACCAACCCACAACCTGGTTCTACGCGTAACTCTCGGATATAGAGAATCTCTTTCCAATAGAGACATCTCCCAACACCACACAACATATCGCATTATTAGGACCTCCGGCGATTATCATAAGGAAAATAATTAAAAGAATAAATTGCAACGGACTCACCACATTGTTACAGTGATCTCAAAACTCAAGGGTGGGTTTACTGAGCACGATAATAGATTTGCATATTCTTAGTGTCGGGGATGACGTCCAATGATAAATACAAGCGAACCAGAAATCCAGTAGGGCCAATCAGTTGATCAACCAGATGATGCCAGCAGGAAAGGTGAACGAAGATGACTTGTGATTGAATGGATTCAGGCTGTCAATCGGAAGAACTGACCCACTCGTAAGAAACACAAAGAGCTGGCAACCAATAAGGCTAGGTCCCGAGATGCCAACCGAACCGATCGAAGATGATGCTTGGCGGTTGTCTGAATGGCAAACGAAACCTCATTGAAGGAACACTAATTAAAACTTTACAAAACATGACGGCTGATGTTCGCTTCGAGCAAAGCACACTACGATCTTTTCTCTAAATATCAACAGTAATATTTATGAATTTTCAAAAGCAAATACGTGTAGAATATAATCACAATCTTTGTTCAACGGATAGGATTATTTTGTTTTTAAATCTAGTTCAAGAAAATTAAAATATGTTGATGTATTCAGTCCTGCCCTCTGAATCACACGGGACATTATTTCTTTTCAGTGCCTTGCCACCGCATGCACCGTGCTGCACTACTACAGCTTCGACGACGGTGATCTGATAACGGGATTCCTGGCGACTGGCACCTTTTGCGGATACATCGTCATCCTGACAACGGTTATGGTTGGTAAGCAAAATCGAAACATTTAGATATGTTCACAGAAAATCACAACAAGCTTCTAACCAAAGGATACCTCATGAAAGCCCACGTCCACCGGCGGTTGAATCTTTTCTACAGCCTGCTGGGATGTGCCCTATTTCTCACCGCGGGCGTCTTCATCATAGAAGCCTGGGAGCACGCCTTCCGGACGCGAACCCGAGACCTGGCCATCACCAAGGGGTCGGTTGCCATCATCAACGGAGTCATCTTCCTGATGGATACGATTTTCACCTTTCGCGAACGGAAGTAGTCCCTGGTAGTGCGCGACGATTTTCGATTTTCAGTACAATATTTTAACGATAATGAAACAGCACGTAGAATACATTTCGCGAGTACTTGTGTCCAATTAAATTCGATGATGACTGACCAACCGGCAATAACCATTAGCACGTCATTTTCCGCTCTGCTCCTGGCTGCCTGAAAACGGTTCTCGGACCGCAATTAAGCGAATATAGAGTTCACACAGCACCGGTGCAGTTCAACGACCGAATTGCAATTGCCGAAAAGCGTGCCTGAAATTGTCCGTGCCAACTTCAATCACATTATTTTCCTGCGCGCGATCTCATTGCAATTGCCCTGCGATGTCCTCATTTCCCACTTCGATTTGATTTCAGTCAAATTGTGTTCAATTGATTTTATTACTCTCCCTGCCCCGCGTAGCACTTCGACCTACATGTATCGGAAAATGCAGAGAACCTCCTGTCCCCTGTCAAATTCCCTTTCCTGTCAATAAATTCTGTTATACACAGGCAGTTTAATTTCATAATGGTCTCAATGAAAACAGGCTTGAGCATTGATCACTTCTTGTTTCTCTTTGCTAATCATTTATTTATTTCATCAATTGCATTTTCATTCTGGTATAAATATGTCAATGCTTTCTCAAGCAAACTACACCAGGAAATCCTTTATCTCACATCACCATTGACGCTAAATAGAGCATACCGTTAATCCTTGTAGCATCGAGAGACAAAACTCACCAAAGCCAAAAATCCCACCCACACGCTTGGCAGAGCCCATTCATAGACACACATGAGCTGGGCCAAAGAAACGAAAATGCACTGTTTACAACCGAAAACAAAAATCCCACTCAACTATTGAACCGGATCCAAAGACCCACCACCAACGAGATGCAATCAGCACAATCAGGTTCGAAGAAGACAATCTGTCGACTCTCCCAACCCCCCACCCACCCCTTTTTTAAAACGTGCCAGTTGCATTTTCCAACCTCCCGGAGGAAGGCCACAAACCGGAAGAAGAAACTGCCGAAATGTAAACAAACAAACAAACCAACCGAAAATATGAAATATTGCACAATCGCGATCCGATGATGCTGTGGATGTGTTGGAATATTCCACCTTCCTTGTGCCTAAAAGAGCTACGGCACTCGGATTTTGCCAGCCAAGGAATCGAATTAAAATTCCTGTCAGGAGCAAATTCCCATACATGCTGGCTGGCTGCTGCTGCTGCTGCCGATTTTGCTCCATTGGAGATAAGTCTTCCCAAATTTGTAAAGCGCTCTGCTGCCCTGCAGCTGCACCAGCTCACTCGACGGCGATGTTGTAAATGCAATTTATTCCCGTCAGAGTGAAGCTCTGCGGACCCCAAGGCCTTTCGGGAAGGAGGAAACACATTCCATCTAGAGTCTTTTAGAAACAACAGCGAGGATGATGACGATACTGCAGTTAGAAGAGCACTATAAGTAGGCGGGATAAATGTGCATCGTCGAGAGATCCACCGTGATTCGATGGAAGGGTGTTCGGAGTTTCCGGCTCGGGGCTGCAGACGTATGCTCACTCGTAGGAGATTGAAGATGATGAAGATGAAGGCTGATTCTGACAGGAACGTCTTAGGAAGTTTTCCCTTCGTGGATGATAAGTTTGACTTGTAGTCCCTGGCTTTGACGATCTTGGACGAGCTTATGACTGCTCTCAACTTAGTATTTTTGAAAGCATTTTCTCAGTTATTAATAGAAGAAGTGAACGGTTGAATTTGAATATTGTGTGGCGGCAGAATGATACTCTAAAAGCTCAGGAAAGTGGAGGAAATTCCCAGGAAGAAAGGTTAAGCGATTTGAATTCACTTTAGCACTACGCGCAAACTAACTGTATATGGGAAATGTATTGTTTATGGTAAGTGGTAATTCCTGTCAGTGTTTTTCATACGTATGTAGTTTCAGATGGGTTAGTCACATACATGTCTGCATTTTGTTCTTTTAGAGTTTATTCAAATGTCATCACGGCTTGAAAGTTCGTTTTGAATTTTCATTCGTTTGTAATCATGGACGCAAAAAGGGAACTCGTGATAAGCCTGCTCAACCGGCACGGTGATTGTGAAATTCTGTTTTCGGACGAGAAAATGTTTCTGCCACAGGATCACCACAACCAGCAAAATGATCGAGTAGGGGAAATGGCTCTAATGTTGGCCTATGGATCTAAGATTGGACCCATCGCTAAAAATCTGCTATTTATCAATTTTATCTAGATGAACGCGTCATTGGGAGGGTATTAATGGATATTTTTGGTCGCTATTGAAAATTTAGCCGATTGCTGAATTTATGTATGGGCTCAAATTAGGGGCATTTAGGCCGACATTACATCCATTTCCCTTATATGCACTAGATTGCGGTCAGGAAATTCCGCGGGAAATCACACGCACATTATTGTAATAACTCTGTTATTGCCAGATTAGCTGTAATTACACAGAGAACCAATAGACGATGCTTGGGACTAGCAATCATCCTCAATGCGTAAAAACTCGTGATCTCAAACTAGGCAATACCAGTGCTGGCCGCGCCCGAACACAGGTCAAGAAAGGAAGGGGTAAGAATGTGTTAACGTGACACTCGCTTTGATGGAAGCCGAGAAATCCTCTGCACTTCCACGAGGAATCACTGGGATGTTGGGTAATAGGGTTGGGTTTGCAGCAGTGCTCGTTTTGGTAAACGATAAGCTGAATTAATGTCCTAACGATCATATAACGCGAAGGAGCTTGGGATTGTACCCACGGTCTTCTGCTCAGTAAGCAAAAACGTTTGCCACTAGGCAGACGAACTCCTTTTTAATTATTGAGTTGCTGTTATTACCATGTAGTCATATTAACAAATAAAACGATTGACGAATCTTGAATGTGGATGGGCTTGAGATTAGAATCATGATGATCTGCTCAGTAAGCAAAAACGGTTGCTCTAAGGCCACCGAGCCCCTCATATCACATTATACCGTTACTCAAGTTGTTATAACTATTCAAATCAGGCACCAACGACAACGAAAAGTTTCACAAAATACACGATAAACAAGCAATCTTACAACACATTTTTAATATGAAAGGACCTGGGATCGCGTTTTTCTGCTCAGTGAGCAAGCCACTGCAACCGACGATCTTTCAAATCCGAAAACTAAAAGCTACGAATGAGTACTTAGGCCTTCATTAAGTTCCACTTTCACGCGACGTTCAATGTTTCGATTTGCTCTTTACGCATTGTTTAGGCAATAATAACAAGCTGTGACCGACGTGACGATTTTTTAAGCCCTGGTACATTCTCGAATTTCACTTGGTATGTAATGAACAACAGAAATAAGCGATAATTTATATAGTTTCAGCAGTTGATGGTTAATTTTAAATATACTAACGGTACTGCCTACGGCAATTACGACACCAACTACGACGGCAAATACGGCGGCAAATACGACGGCAAATACGACGGCAAATACGACGGCAAATACGACGGCAAATACGACGGCAAATACGACGGCAAATACGACGGCAAATACGACGGCAAATGCGATGGCAAATACGACGGCAAATACGACGGTAAATACGACGGTAAATACGACGGCCCCTACGACGACTACAACAGCGAATTTGTAACTTACCATTTGTCTAGGATATAACACCTTTGCCCGGCACCTCCACTCGAGCTTCATGTCTGCTTTCTGTCACTATTTGCAAAAAATATCTAATAGCAATTACCTTTGCCGGCGCTGGCATAAAAATCTCTTATCACGTTTTCCTTCGGAAGGGAAGTAAAGCCGTTGTTCCCGGCCCATGTGTGATGAATGGGTGCGATACCCTACGCAGGTGTGGAAGCTGCCTTCCTCCACATTCGGTTGCCGTCAATGGACGGCAAACGATGTCCGTCGGTGATTGGCACTAGATTGCGGTACAGAGACCGACGTTAAATAAAGAGGAATGAAGATGAATAAAGCAATTACCTTTGTTGTAATACTTCCTGCATTGTCATGGTCATCTGGGAGGAGGTTCGCGTCTAGTGCTTTCCCCAGGAACCGTTCACGGCCACCAGCTACCGCCCGTCCAGTCTTGGGCGTATCCAGCGAGGTATCCTTCAGTTTGCTCACAATCTCCGACACTGGTGAGAGACCAGCAGACGAGCACTTTTGCAAGCCGTAAACTTGCTGATTCATGGCAACGTCGGCCACCGAATCACCACCAAAACTCGCGGCGGACACATTATCAGCCTTTTCCCCGGCTAATTTACCAACCGAACCGTGTTAAAACTCACACACGGTGATAGAACTACACGCCGAATTCGTAACATCCGAACACGGTGCACCGGCCTCCCGGTGGGCAATGAAAATCATAAGCACACTTACACACTGCTGGTTACAAAAAAAACACACCCGTGCAAAGAAACGAATCCAATAAATGTCACTCTCGTGAAAGCAAACCCGTCGTCTTCGAACGGCAAAAAATTAGTGGGGTTGTGTATAAGACACAACCGCATGGTTGACGTAGACTACGTTAAGTTGGGTAGTGAAATTCACGTGCATTTTTCTAGATATTGATTTAAAATACAGTAGAAGTAACCTACGATGTCGGTCCTATCTGCATATTTTGGATTTCCTACTTTGTGAAACTTGGTTAAATTCAGGACCTCACAAAAATGTGAATACATATTCTATTACATTTGGTTCCTAAATTACAATCAGATATGAGTAAGGCTTTCTTCAGGTGATTCATTGAAGCGTCCAACAATGACTGTGACAGTGGCTGATATTCCCTATCACTTCAAGATTTCTAGGACACGAATATTGGACGGTTGTGACATCACTCATGAAATTGAAACTCCTTGTGTACCGTACTGCAACAAACGTGAAGTTCCAGTTTCTTTGTTATAAGTTTTGTTGGAGCTGATATTTTCCAAGTAGGATCTGGGTGGCATCTGGGTGATTTTTCGATTTAAAAAAAAACTCAAACTTTAGCGTTTTTCCGCCACCTCAAATCACGTTCGAT